GTGAAATTTGAACACCGTAGGCTTCTGCTTCTCCCGAAGATTTCTTTGTAATCATGAGTATAACCTGCATAGATGTTTGTTGAGCCTCTTGTCTTCCAGCGTCTGAAGGCTCAGTAGTTATGCTACTTTCGATCATCTGGCAAACTCATCTACCCTAATAAAACTGTCATTAATCTTCTGTCAATTGGAGATGCAGTAGCTGAAATAACAATCTATTGCCTGGTCAATCTCGTACTGAATTTCTTGCAGTTTGGCAATGAATTTCTTATCTCTGCTCAAATTCCATTGATGTAACTACTAACTATTAGTTGGATGAAGTTGTTTGCTCATAAAGGAATGTTTGTGACAGGGATCATTTAACAGCACTGGCTTAATCGTCTCTTCGAAGCTGCCTAGATTCTCTGATAAGTACACACTTACAGTAGAGACTGCTGATCCCAAGTCGATTTCTGCAAAACCAAAAGTGGAATTTACCAAGAGCGTCACACAATGGTCTCTTTCTCCCTCCTGTCATCCACCCCTTTTCTTTTCAAAGAGGAAAATAGTATAAAAGGGATTTCATGAGCTGAATGACTTGATTACGATAATGTACGTTTTGCAGGTTTACCAAGGATGGAGTTCTTGTGGAGGGGCTATTCTGGAAAGATGTTGAAGCCTTAGTTAATAACTATGCTAAGGAACACAAAAAGAGCAAATAAATGCAATGTCAAGACTCGAGACATATTTTGTTAGGGATCTTGGCCTAGATAGCCAATGAGATTGAAAATGTCGGTTGATGACTTCTGGATTAATATCACTCAAATCATTATAGAAGCAAATTGATCCGTTTTCATTGTTGAATTATAGTGATCCATTTCCATTGTTAAAAAAAAAAATGATGTGATCATTTTTCTTTGATAAAATGAATGTGGTCATGAACATAGCCTTTCTTGCCCCACCCCCTGCACTTGTTATTGGCTCGGTTAGACACCTCTAAAGATAGGAAATCGATGACAATGTAATCCGGTGTTCTTGTTGTTTACCAACTACACGCACATCTATGAGAACCAAAGTCTCCCACACACGCACTCTCTCTCTCTCTCTCTCTCTACTTTGTTATTTTAATTTTACATATTAATCAAATGAAATTAAAATAATTTAATTAAAGTCTCTCATAGTAAATATTTCAAATTACTTATCTATCTAAATAAGAATACTAATTCTGAAGTGGATCTTTACAGGAATTTTTACATTCCTATACCATATAGGAAACCTTATTACCCTCAATGTTTAAGGTTTGATATAATTACATTTAGTATACCAAATTATCAATTCTATACCATAGTGTATTTTAAGGGTACAATTAATGCAGCATATATCCCTCCTTAATTCAAGGTACCATATATCACAAAGTGCCTTTTTTTTATTGATTAGATAGGATTACATTGTGTTTATCCTAATTACAGATTAGCAGATTCAGTTAATATTTAATAGTGCTTTGATTCATTAAACTTACCACTAGTTAATAAGTTAGTAAAAGAGAAGCAGTAGATTTCACGACTAAAACATTGCGACACCGTAAGGATATGGCAATAATGTACTTAATGGAAGAAAACAAGAAAGATGTCTTCCACTATGCTTCATATTTTATTTGTTTGTAGAAGGAGAATATATTATTATTTTAATTATTATTATTATTATTATATTCTATGACGGATTAATCTAGTTGGCAAGATTCCAAGCTGTCTAGAATGCTGCCTTCCTATTCAAAACAGAAAAACTTAGTGCTTCACTCTGGTCACATTTTCAATTTGAGCCTTGATTCTCACAGTACTTAGACATTATATTGAGTTTTAGTGGTTTTTGATTTGTGAAAACAGAAAACAAAGCATCTACAATCAGAATACAAATAATTTATAATTTATCTACAATTTATCTATAATTTATCTACAAACTGGGTACATTGAATTTTAATATCTAAATTCCCGTTCAATTGTAGCTTAATTGGTATTTTCGACATAATTGCATTTTTTGCAGAAGATTTTGTAGAAGTTTTAGTCGTTTTGGATTTGTGAAAACAGAAAACAATGCATCTACAATCAGAATACAAATAATCTACAATTCATCTACAAATTATCTACAAACTGGGTATATTGAATTTTAATATCCCAATTCCCATTCGATTGTAGTTTAATTGGGATTTTCGACATAATTGCGTTTTTTGCAGAAGATTTGTAGAAGTTTTAGTCGTTTTGATTTGTGAAAACAGAAAACAAAGCATCTGCAATCAGAATACAAATAATCTACAATTTATCTACAAAATATCTACAAACTGGGTACATTGAATTTTTATATCTCAATTCCCATTCAATTGTAGCATAATTGGGAATTTTGACATAATTGCTTTCTTTAAGAAGATTTGTAGAAGTTTTAGCCGTTTTTTATTTGTGAAAACAGAAAATAAAGCATCTACAATGAGAATACAAATAATCTACAATTTATCTACTATTTATCTACAATTTCTGCAATATGTCTTCTTCTTTCTTCTTCTTCTTCTTCTTCTTCTTCTTCTTCTTCTTCTTCGACGAGTTTCAATCTGAAATTCAGTCAAAACCAAGTCTAATCTTCACCAAAACCCCTCAAAATTGAGATATAAACTCCAAACCATATTTCCGATTATTTTCAACAACACTCAATCCAAACAAATAATGATTTTTGAAAACCCAAATTTGAATTCAAAGCTTTCAAGCTTTTTAATGGCTGTCAACGGTGGAATTGCTGCTCTCTTTTCATTTGCTTTGTATTACTGAAATTTGCGATTGAGAAATTTATGCTTTGAATTACTGAATGTAGTTCAAATCTTGCAGTGTAATCCGATACAACAATATTGAAGCAGTATTGAAGATGGATGTTTCTGCTTTATCTTTAGTAGGGTTCTGCGTCAACTTCCCTAAGTTTACATGTCTGAAGCTAATTCACTTAGCTAATGTCTTTCGAATGAATGTCTATAGTTGGATTCAAGAGCTTAACCATTTGAAAGCATAAAGCTACAGTGATTCCTTATTTAATCCATTGTATATATTAGATAGAAATACTATTAACATGAAGGGTAATAAGCAAACTATGAACATATTTGGTAATATAGTTTCATATATGGTATATATACGAAAATGGCTCATCTTTACATGCATACTTCGTACTTAATGCTCAAGGGCTTTTGAAAGATCAGCCGTAAATGGTCTGGCCAAACCCATAAACATATTTGGAAGTAAAAATAACATGGGCTACCTATTTTTCGGACTGGTCATTCAAAAATAGCCAGCATTTGCAAAGTCATTGAAAAATAGCCACTATTTTGCTGCAACACGGAAAGTTCAAGCATAATATACTGGAGATTGGTGTACCTGCATATGAAAATGGCTCATCTTTCGTATATATGGTATATATACGAAAATGGCTCATCTTTACATGCATACTTCGTACTTAATGCTCAAGGGCTTTTGAAAGATCAGCCGTAAATGGTCTGGCCAAACCCATAAACATATTTGGAAGTAAAAATAACATGGGCTACCTATTTTTCGGACTGGTCATTCAAAAATAGCCAGCATTTGCAAAGTCATTGAAAAATAGCCACTATTTTGCTGCAACACGGAAAGTTCAAGCATAATATACTGAAGATTGGTGTACCTGCATATGAACTTCCAGCATATTATGCTGGAACTCAACATGCTAAAAGTTCCAATATAAAATAGTGATATACTTATACTAGAACTCCAGTATATTAAATAGTATTTTCGTTCAGATTTATCAGAACATGAAAATAACTAGATTTCGATTACTTTTGAAATTGTGACTATTTTTGAATTTCTCCCATCTTTGGACAATGGCTAAACCGAAAAGGAATGACTGCAAGATCATAAGCCCCGTTCAGTCAACCCAGTTAAACTGGACCACGTGAATAACTGTTGATGTCGGCCATTAATTGCTTCCGGCTTGAGTCCATAGGCTCCACCTCGTCTCAGCCCATCCACAAGGGAATGGACTCACACAGCTAGTGAAGCTTAACTCGTTTCAAAGTTCAAGCATAATATACTGAAGATTGGTGTACCTGCATATGAACTTCCAGCATATTATGCTGGAACTCAACATGCTAAAAGTTCCAATATAAAATAGTGATATACTTATACTAGACTCAGTACCTATTAACCCTAGTGTTTCGTCCTAGCTTTACCACGACTAACATGAAAATAACTAGATTTCGATTACTTTTGAAATTGTGACTATTTTTGAATTTCTCCCATCTTTGGACAATGGCTAAACCGAAAAGGAATGACTGCAAGATCATAAGCCCCGTTCAGTCAACCCAGTTAAACTGGACCACGTGAATAACTGTTGATGTCGGCCATTAATTGCTTCCGGCTTGAGTCCATAGGCTCCACCTCGTCTCAGCCCATCCACAAGGGAATGGACTCACACAGCTAGTGAAGCTTAACTCGTTTCCAAGTTTGCATCCCTGCAGAAACGGCCCGGGGACTTTCCTGGACCCTGATCTACGAATAGATCTTGGCCCATTCACGTCGTCTTGCAGCCTTAATGCTCTGTTACCGTCGAGAACAGCATAAAAAGCGCAGCAAAGCATCTTTCTTAAACGGTGTGGGACTTCTGTTTTCTCCCTCCCGCCTTTAAAGGGCACGTTAATTAAAGTTTTTTTGGCATATTGTATTTACACTGGATTTTTTGTTATTGTTGTTGTTGTATCGGCAAAAGAAAAAGAAAAGAAGCTTGCAGAATGAGCATCAGACATTAAAGGTATATATTCTCCTTTTTTTTTTTCTATTTTTTTGCAAAGTATTTAGGATAGTGTACTGGTTGAGTAACACTACCTAAATTACCATTTATGTTATACGTGAAAACCAAATAGATAATCAAAGAGCATTCTATATGAAAAAGGGAAAGATACACTAAGCTTTCTATTGAAAAAAGAAAGGAAAATATACACTAACCTCGTGTTATGCACGGGATCCACAAAAGACTAAATTATATTGAATCTATTGTATGCGGTCTATGTTCACAGAACATTTTATGTATAGAACTTTTACAATGTGAAATGTCGTTGAGGCTTCGATCTATGTATACACTAACTGTTTAGCTCATAGTTATTCAGAGAGCCGTAAGCACCAATAGGAAATAAAATACACAAGAACTGATCGAATGTTAAGACAACAAGTGCACCAGTGGTCTAGTGGTAGAATAGTACCCTGCCACGGTACAGACCCGGGCTCGATTCCCGGCTGGTGCAAATCACTTTTTTTTATCTTTTTGGGAAAGCATTCTTCGGTATCGTAATCATTCAAGAAAACCTTTACCTTTCAACATTGTTATACTCCCAAATGTTAAAGTAATAATCACAAGAAATGCTCATCCTACACAATCAAACAACGAAAAGATATTCTATGATTGAGGAGACTTGAGCATCAGGATTCCTCAGGGGAAGCATGTATTATCATAAGTCAGCCAAAGATCTAAGTTTCTCGATTATGGAGTCTATAGTGGAACGGGAGTTCTTGGTGCCTGTCAGTGGCAGATGTTTAGGTGCTTCTGCTCTATCAAAATAAAATTGTCCTGAAACCAACTTCTCTTTTGGTTGTAAAGCCAACCAGATTACTGTATCTGCACCTTCCTCACTACTTCTAAGTTTTCCTTCAAACCTACAAAACATCATGAATAGTATTACTATCTTTTAAGAAGATAAAGGAATTCATAAGGGAGTGTTCTATCCACATACGATTTTGAAAAATCCGGCAAACTCTTGGATACTCCAGGCGTTTCGGCCCACCCTGGATGCATGGAGTAGAAACCAACACTTTTATCCTTGTACATTTCAGCCCATTTTTCTGTCAATGCAACCTGAAATGAAGATGGCAACTCTATTGAGATGACGGTAACCTTGAGAAACAAAATATTTCTACGTGTCAAAAGAGTATAGGAGAGTGATAATTTAGGTGGAAAGCAAACAAGATAGGGACAGACATTCCCAGATGTATATGTTTATTGAAAGATCATCGATATGCATATCCTTGACGTCCTTCGTATTCACACTAGAACAAATGCAAACACAACACAAAAAAAAAAAAAAAAAAAAAGAAAAAGAAAAGGAAAGACGCATATTTGGCAAGACCAAGTAGCAAAACTTTACTTAGTTCCAAATTATAAAATGAAGGGGGAACACTGAGAGATAAAATTCTCTATACTTTTCCACAAGACTTAAAAAGTCTCCATCATCAACTAATTTCTATAGAGAGACCATAGGTTGCGATCGAGGTAAATGCCTCCATGGGATCAGCAAAATAAATTCAATTTGCTGCAAGTTAAAAATGAAAAGGTAGTTGTCTAGGAATGAGGGAGAGAAAACTATTTGTTTTTGAATTTTAGAAGAAATGGAGACATTAGTTATCTAAGATGAAAATGGCATCTCCATATGCTCTTTAAGACATCACGAAGGGGCGTATTGTTCAAAATACTTAATAGCTTTACACCACAGAAAGGCTCAACTTTATACACGAGGAAATTAGATGACTAATAGGTTTGGTGAATGAAATTAAGGATGTCACTTTATGATAATTAGGGAGAGACTTCTTGTTAGTGCTACTAAGCTTGCAGGCAGACATGAATTTATTTGTTAGGCCATGATGTCCATCCAAGAGAGTATGCAAGAGAATGCGGTGAGATTCATTCGTAGCTTCACTATCAAAGGACAACGAAGCATCCCAATTTTGGAAGAACGCCACCGGAAAAAAGGTAAGGATTCAAACTAAACCTCAAACATAAAATTTAAACATGAAAAGGAAAACAACTCAAATCAAATAGAAGTAACCATAATGATCTGGAAAAAAGAATAAAGAAAACACTTCGACTTCTGAAGCCGATTCTAGAGGAAGTCTTCATTTCTTGTCAAAGAGAGGGAGGGAGTAAGCCACAAAACATAGAAGATTCTCTATGGAGGGAGACTGCTCATGGAACTTCAAGGGACTCCTGTCGATGGAACTTTAAATTTTTGAAAGGAAATATTTTTTGAGGATGCAGTCACACTATAAAGTTGATTATGATGATCCAGGCCTTCTAATTTTTATTTACCTCAAGAAGGATATTTATACACCATAGAGCAACAAATTATGTTCCTAAGAAGGGAGGTAAATCACTAATTTCTCTTGGATATTTAATTAGATGAATCAGAAAATCAGTAAGAAGCATTTGACAGTAACATATATATAGCTGTCATTAGTAAACCTCTTAGAAGTACCCGTTCTCAAGACAAAATATTTAATATACCTGAACTCTCTTGTTCCGAGCATACTGTTCCACCCCATCAAACTTGTTACCACTAAACTGCAAATATAGTTTATCAGAACACAGTCAACCGAGCAAGATCGATGTATTAAGAAATTGGGAACAAAGTTACCTGTAAATCGGTTGTCAGTGGAGCTGTGTACATCCCGCCAGAGGCAACTGTGATAACACGAGCATCAGGTGCCGCCTTCTCAAGGAGTGGTAACATCAACTCTGTCAAGGTGTAAGTGCCAAGAACATTTGTAGAAAAATTCAGCTCATATCTGCTTTTAAGATAATAAAACGATATCATTCCCCTTTGAACAGATGCCCAACAAGAGTATTATCTAAAGCTTTAGAAGCACTAAACACAAGCCTGCCTACCCTTCTGGAGTGATGACACGATTTGTTTCAAGCACGCCTGCATTGTTCACCTTGTTACATAAGAAAAGATGAAACTGGTCAGAAATAATATAAATCATTTAACGAAGAACATTAGACAGTGTCGGAGGAAAAAGGTTCACAGATGAAGAAAGGTACACTACCAGGACATGGACCGGCACATCTTTTGAACAAAATCTAGAAGCGAAGGATTTGACATCACTGACTGATGAAATGTCACAGACCTGCCAGTTTCGAAACAAATGTAACCAATAATCAAAACTTCAAAACAAAATATATCTACTTGCACTAATTCAGATAACAGAAGTAAGGACTACCTCCAAGTAAACATTTTTATTTCCAGTGATTGAGTGAATTTTGGTAAGAGCAGCCTCTCCCCTCTCCTTATTCCGGCATAACATGTAGACAGTTGCCCCACTTGAAACAATTGAAGTCAAAACTGTTAGTAATACTTAGATCAAAACATTGTTCTTGTATCGATCTCTCAGTGCCAACTCCATAAGAATGAAGAATTGAAGGCAGGATGAGTACCGTGAAGCGAGGCCTTCAGCAGTTGCAAAACCAATGCCGGAATTTGCACCTGTGACAATGCAATTCTTCCCTTCCATTTGAACTTGCATATCCTCTGGCTTAAACTTTTTCGCGTGTTCCCTAAAATTCAAATGGGGCCAGAAATTATATTCTTTTTTCTATTGAAATTCTCGACGCACAGAAGTTCCCAGACATAGATTCCACTAATCAAATAGTTTTAATCGAAGGGAAAAAATGGGATCTTGATCACAAAAACAAATTATCAGTTTAAGATTCGTGATCAATATTAATCCTTTGCTACATATTTCTTAGGAAAACAATAATTTACAAATGACATATTTCCAATACTCATTACTGTGCAAACCTGCTGAAAACTGTTTTTTTTGAGCCGATGGTACTTCGGAAACAACCTCTCTACCTCCACAGGGTGTAAAGTAAGGTTTGGATACCATTTAACCTCCCCGGACCCCACATTTACACCGGGTATATTATTGTTATTGTTGTTGTACATATTTCCAATTCACCAAATGCTAGAGAAGAGGAATTGTCAGCTTGATTCTCATAACCAACAGGCAATAACAAGAGATAGAATAATGAGTAACAAATCATTATCAGTAATCACCCCACGTTGAAACTCATAAGCAAAAGGTAAATGACAATTACCCACTTCAAATCAAGCACAATTTATATTCCAAAAAAAAAAGGGGGGACTTACGCAAAACCAGACTTTGTGAAATTCAAATAGCCATAAAGCCCAAATGCCGTAGCTCTCAACGTCTGCAGTTCGGAAAAACAAACCAAAGAAACATAGTGATCAGAAACAAAAGAAGGTAGAATTCTTTTGAAAAAAGAAGTGAAATGAAAGGGTATTTAATTCTTTACTTTGGCAATAAACATGATGAGAACTGAAGTGGAGATACGAATTTGAATTTGAAATTGAAATGTAAGCATTTAGCAACTGCTTTCACTTTTCATATTTGTACGACTTAAGTACAAGAGTCTGGGTGTTAACGTGTGGTACTTTTTGTTATGATTGCTACTGGGCTTGTCTTGATCCACGTACACCACTGTCTTACCGCTATTTTCTTACTTTGGCCGTAGACCGTTTTTCTTTCTTTTTTTTTTTTTTAAGGGTAAATCCACACACAATAATTTTACCCACATACCGTAATAAGTAGTAGGTGGGTAATTTTATCTTACACCTTTTCCCATTGATTGAATATGTCGCTCCTTTTCTTCCCGAGATAACTAGTTACTTATTAGAGAAAAGGTCCGGATTTACCCTATACTTTGTTAAATAGTTTATATTTGTCTCTCGTTATACTTTCCGTCTAAATATATATCTACTGTTAATAAAGTAAACAAAAATATCCCTAACCCTAATAGTTGTCCACTGTGTAATGCTATATTCTAGGGCGGGCCCGGGCCTAAATGGGCCTAACGGGCCTGGGCTTTGGCGGACTGGACTCTGGCGGTCCCGGGCCAAACGGTCCCAAAGGATGGAGTAGAAATGGCATGGTGTAGCCACTATTTAAGGTGGTATTTATTTTTTATCCAGCAATTCTAATGTTGAGCAAAAATAGCCAATGCCCTATTAAAATTAATATGAAAAGATATTTTTACCCTTTCTTCCCTTGCTTTTCTTCCCAAACCCTTGCTTCTCTCTCTCCGTGCCTTCTCCATAACTGTTGCATTATGTTGAGGTGGCGGAGCCTATCTACACAGTCATTCTAATGTACATCGCTTGTAAGCATTCATTAAAAGACAAAAGCTCTTTAACAGAACTTTTCAATATTCATGGTTCAAAAGTTAGTAACAGAACTTTGTAAGTAGGGTGTAGACCTTCTGCTCTCCTTGCATGGTTCAGTTGGAAAGCACAAAATAAAAGAAACAAAAATAATAATTTCAATTCATAGCCAAAGAATAATGTCGCAGACTCTCCCAAATTTAAATCTTTTAACTTTGATTTTCAAGTTCAAAAGTTAAGGACAGACATCAGTTACAAGTTCAAAACTTAAGGACAATAGGTCCTTAACTTTGATTTCCAAGTTCTAAAGTTAAGGACAGGCAGTCCTTAACTTTGAGTTTCAGTTTCAAAAGTTAAGGACAGGCAGTCCTTAACTTATAGTTTCAAGTTCAAAACTTAAGGACATGCAGTCCTTAAGTTATTGTTTCAAGTTCAAAACTTAAGGACATGCCGTCCTTAAATTGTTTCAAGTTCAAAACTTAAGGACATGCAGTCCTTAACTTTGAGTTTAAAGTTCAAAAGTTAAGGACTGACTTTGAGTTTAAAGTTCAAAAGTTAAGGACAAGCAGTACTTAACTTACGGTTACAAGTTCAAAAGTTAAGGACAATAGGTCCTTAACTTTGACTTACAAGTTCAAAAGTTAAGGACGCTTGGTCTTGAAGTTTGAGTTCCAAGTTCAAAACTTAAGGACTTTCTGTCCTTAACTTTGAGTTTCAGTTTCAAAAGTTAAGGACAGGCAGTCCTTAACTTATAGTTTCAAGTTCAAAACTTAAGGACAATAGGTCCTTAACTTTGACTTACAAGTTCAAAAGTTAAGGACAGGCAGTCCTTAACTTTGAGTTTCAGTTTCAAAAGTTAAGGACAGGCAGTCCTTAACTTATAGTTTCAAGTTCAAAACTTAAGGACAGCAGTACTTAACTTACGGTTACAAGTTCAAAAGTTAAGGACAATAGGTCCTTAACTTTGACTTACAAGTTCAAAAAGTTAAGGACGCTTGGTCTGAAGTTTGAATTCAAGTTCAAAACTTAAGGACATGTAACCTTGAAGTCCTGAACTTAGAGTTTCAAGTTCAAAAGTTAAGGACATGTAGTCCTGAAGTCCTGAACTTAAGAGTTTCAAGTTCAAAAGTTAAGGACATGTAGTCCTGAAGTCCTGAAGTTAAGGGACATGAGCAGAAGGGTATTTTTGTACGAGCAGTTAAAGTTTATTAAACCAGTGGCTAAAGACTAAAGACATTTAAAACGCTGGCTTTAAAATAAAGACATAAGCTGTTAGTGGCTATCTGTGCACATCGCCCAAGGATGGAACCGGCCCGTTGTGGGCCTAAGCCCACATGGTCCCGGGTTAAATGGGCCGGGCCCACGGGCCTAAGTGGTCCGGGCTGTTTTTTTTTGAAATTTTTTTATCTAAGAGTATTTTCTTGTAAATTATATATATATATATATATATATAATATATATATATATTATATATATATATATATAATATATATATATATATATATATACTATATATATATATATATTATATATAGGTATATAACTCTTGTAAAATATATTATAGAATTGTAACTTAAATCTTCTAAAGAGTCAAATTTAAACATAAAAAAAAAATTGCAAAGAGATATTCAAGGGAATGCCTTATAATTTTTATTATTACGATATTAACAAAAATGGCAATATCTTTTTTAGTCTTCCTCCCCCCAATGGAATGAGCACAACAAGATGCTAATACCACCACTAAAAGGAAAAAAACCTAATGAAGATGTGCCAAAATACAAGTTACATATTAGTCTACATATTATCTCTAACAAATTTCATAAATCCTTCAAGGTTCAGAGGAATTTCCGTTGGTGGTGGCGGAAAAGAAGCTTGTTCATCACCGCTTCCGGGCGAAGCAGCATCCTCCGCAAGTTCCGCTAGCATTTCTTCATAAGCTTCGTCTATCTCCGGTTGTGATTCAGCAAGTCTAAAATTTCTTCTTTCCAAATGGATACAGTCTCTGAAGGGTACTGATTTTTCCAAGCTCTCCCTCATAGACGCTCTATGATCACCTATTTGAAGTCTCGCTTGACTGAAAGCGCTCTCTGATGCCACTGTTGAAGCTTGAACACATAAAATATCTCGAGCCATCCTTGAAAGAACCGGAAAGTGTTTAATGAGTTTTTGGCATTAATGAGTTTAAGAAGCATGCTCAAGAGTTGACCTTCATCACCTCTTAATTAGCGGCCACAATGTGGAGTCAGCCTTCTTGAATTTCTTGGAAAAAAATATATAACGCTGTGTCAAGGAAGACTTTGCTAATAGGTCCTGGTGCTAATGGAAATCACATCAAAGAAACCAACATTAGTTGCTTAACAGCTTGTTTGGAGGGTTGTTCCTCATTGTATGTATTGTTATCTCAAAACAATATTTGTTTTGATTATTTCATTAAAATTGGTTGTATTGTATTGTTAAATCCATTGTTCCGGAACAATGAAAAGTCCCCTTTTTTGAAACAACGGATTTGGTGTGGTGGGATTGTTTCCTATTTTTCTTTCCAATTATGCCCTAACTTATTACTCCACAATTCTATTTTACCCTTTATTTTTTTTCTATTTTAACTCCAAATCTCTAACTTATAACCTACTTTATTTTTTTCCAGACCAATGTTAAAGGTGTTTTGCTGCCTTCTGTTTTATTTTTTCTCCTAATTTGCTTGTAACTCAATTCTAATTAGTTGTGCTCCTTTGTTTTGCCTTCTTCTGTCTTGCTCCTTTGTTCTGCTTTCTTATTGTGTTTTTCCTTCTTCTGTTTTATTTTTTAAAATTATTTTTATGCATATTTTTTGATAAATTTAATATTTAAACAATTGAGGGTATCTTAGTAAACTTATCAGTTACAGTATAGTACGATACAATCAAACCAAACAACAAAATATTATTTAACAATAACAAACAATAAAATCTATCCAAACATTGTATTCAAAAAACGATACGGTACAATACGATACAATACAATACAAAACATTATAAAACGATGAGGAATAATGATCCAAACAAAGTGTAAAAGATTAGTTCTAATTTTCAAGTTAGTGAGATGAAGAAATTATCTTCTAGTTCTTGCTAATAGATCCTACCAGAAGGGAAACAAATTTAATTTGTTTTGTTAATTTATTCCTGGGACGGTTTATGGTCAATGGGTTGTTGGAAAGGGGTATGGTTCTAATAATTTGTTTGTAGGACCAGTTAATTTAGTGCGTGGCAATTTATTTGAAGGACATGGGTGCCACAATGGATGGCCGTTAGGGCTAGGGAAATTTTTGTTTACTTTGTTAACGGTAAGGATATATTTAGACGGAAAGTATAACGATGAATAAATGTAAACTATTTTGCAAGGTGCAGGAGTAAATCCAGACTTTTCCCTCAATCAATTCGATAGTAAAAAAATTTTACATAGTAATAACTGTAAGTTAATTTTTTTTATGAAAAAGGGCCATATATGCCATTAAACTATACAAAATTGTACATATTTTCTGTCGTTTAAAGGTGAACTCAGTCTTGCTCTTGTTGTGCATAAGTTGGGTCACATATGTCATATATTTAATATAATTGCTTAACCCACATATTAACCTCACTAATATAATATTTAGCACCAGATTGTGACACGTGTTGAAATATCTGATTCATTTTATCTCCAACCACCTGGTGTTCTTATTTTATTAAACCCTTTTCTTATTTTGTTTACACTCTCTCACCTCGCTTCCTTCTCTCAATTTCTGCTTTCACCATTAAGCCAACCACACCATAAAGTTGCTCCTCTAGGGTTTCCTTTTCAGAGAAAATTCAAAGGTTGGATGCTTTTTCAAGGTATGTTATCTTTCTATTTTATTTTCTTTTTTCTATTTGTGGATTAGGGTTTCTTTCGTCTATATACTATATGTGGGGTTATGGTTTCTTGTTTTATAATGAGATTGTTGTTTATTGATATTTGTTTTATACTTTATCCTACTAAAGAATTAAATACAGTTAATAACAACAACAACAACAACCCAGTAAAATCCCACAAGTGGGGTCTGGGGAGGGTAGTGTGTACGCAGACCTTACCCCTACCCCAAAGGGGTAGAGAGGCTGTTTCCGAAAGACCCTCGGCTCAAGATAATAAAAAGAAGATAAAAGGAGAGGATATTAGATTCATCACGGAGATCATAGGAAAAATAGGAACATAAAATGCAGAAGCAAAATGCAAAGCAAAAACGGTGGCTAGTA